CGAATGAGATTTTAAAATTATTCTTTTTTCGTTCCAATATTTATTTGGCGAAATATTAATATAAATATTGTTTTTTTCAAGAAATCTTAGATAGATGTTAATGAAAATCTTGCTATCTCATAAGAAAGATATCTAAAATATATTTTTTATTTTTAATAAATCCAATAGATAGAATATTAAATCCTTCTTATCTATTCAGAAAAAGATCAATTAATTAGATCAATAAACGAATATCTTCTAAATTCTATAGAGAAATTTTAACATCATTTTTGCTTCCCCATAAAGATGAATCTTAAATAAATTAAAGCAAATATTATCTACTCACAAGATTAATTAATTACGAGATTTAGAGAAATCTTGTTTTCCTATCAAAAAATATAGGCGAAATATCAGATTAATCTTACTTCCACATAAAATATATTTCAAAAATTATTAAAAGTAAATCTTACACCTTCATCGAATCAATTAATTAAAATAAAGACCATAAGAAGATCTTAAAGTTAATCATTATATCATAATAATATAATTTCTAAGAGATTATATAAGATTTTTCTTATTCATGATTCCAATTAATTAACAAAAGAAATATATATATATTTATGATATTTTTTTCATAAATCTCTCGAATAGAATTCATATTTATTTTATATATTTTAAGTCTCATAATTTCGAGTTATGAATAGATACGATTTTTTCAAATGATTTAAATATATTGCTTATATATTTTCTAAAAACTAAGGTATATTATTTTTAATTCTTTGGATATGAGCCGATGATTTTTTTCATATCTTAGGCAATAAAGATTATATAAGATTCATTATTAAAATGTTTTTGCTTTCAAATCTTATTTCGTCATATTTCCTGTATGCTTGCACCACGCCTCCCCAAAATTGAAGGATCGTTAGCCTGTCACCAAGATAGACTATTGCTTCGTTCGAACTGAACCCATATTGGAGATGCAAACACTATGTGGTCGCCAGCGATGAGTCGTGCCTTTTGAACACAGGTCATGAAAGGCATATATGTCTGGAACACGGCTGGTGCGACTCTTGATTCTCAAGAGTCTCGCAGTCCCTTGCTTCACAGGTACACGAATGAACATCCCAAGTCTCAAGCTCCCGGCTTTGGGAGAGCTATCCCCTCTGGGGACATGAGTATACAAAGTGGGTTGGGTGCAGTCCTGAACCCAGCCACTCAGAGGACACTTCATCACTGCATCCTAGAAAGCTCAATGTAACTCCAAACCTGAAGACCCTAAAGCCCCAAACCCAAACGAAGAGAATCGTAAACCCCTGAACCCTGTCTCCCATGGCTTGAAGATGATTGCCTGACAAGAATTCGTCCCAAATCTCGGCTCGTCAGTATCTGCTAGTTCACGCATCGGTCGGCCTTGGTTTAGGGTTGGGGGCTCCAAGTCTTCAGCTTTTGATAAGTTCTCGGGTCTATAACGTAGGGTACGGGGGTTTCTTGGCAGACGTGCTCTACGCACTATGCGCTAAGCGCTTTGTACTCTACGGAAGGCCACCCAACAAGCGCAATCAGAAATCAGCTTCTCAGTGAGCCACGACCCTCTTTCAATCGTGACTAACTCACTCTCTCGGGAGGGAGTCAGGGCCATTGGCTTTGGGGGAGTTGGGGATTACGGTGTGTCTGCTCTGGGGACACTCTGGGAAAGATGTGGCACCGCATCTGTCTTTGTCCGAGTGGCTGTCTCAGCATTCCCGCAGAATTGCAAGAGTGTCGTCCTGTGATGCTCCGGACAAAATGTCTAATTACCACTTACACACCTGGACCTAGCTTCCTGTTTCAGCTTTCGATGAATGGAAGACTGTACTCCCTCCGTAACATAATGCAAAACCCAAGAGACCATGCCGCGTTTACTTACTAGACATCGCGGGCACCAATGTTTAGAACCCAACCCTAAAAGGAGGGTTGACACTATATCGTTTTACGCCAACATTACCCTGCAACGACGGTCTTACACACCTCTTGGGGCGTGAACTGCTATGCCTAAACCCCAAAGTCCTGAAGCCAAGCGTAAATTAATCCTAAAATCAGAAAGCGGCTAAGCCTAAAAGGGTCAAGACCTGACTGACGCTTAGACCCTCCTAAACCCTAACCCGGGTGAATGAACAGCCCAGTGGCATGACACCGATCGGGATGAATTGCAACACAGAGAGCCTTCGGTACACCAGCTGTCGAGCTTGCGGTGGCTCGGCCCCTTCTAAGCTTCATTACGGACTTCCAATTTTTGCATCAAAATCTTCAGCATTCCTGGGGTGTGTACGGCTTTCAAGGTGTGCACAGCCTACGGCGTGAGGACTTCAGGGTCTTCCGGGTGGAAGTTCAGTCCTCCTTTTAAAGTCGTAAGTTTAGGTCTTAAGGGTTCGTAGAAATGACGATGCCCCTTCCAGACCCGAAGAGATGTTGCAGGAACAAAAACAGTTTCTGATATAGAATGCAAAAATGCACTGCCCCCGACTGTCCCCGACTTTGTTAGATTGTACGATTACACAAATTAATAACAGTCGCAAGAAGTGGTCCATGTGGCATTAATTATTTATACTAGTTACAAGGGACCCTGACCCCGGGGCGCGCGTCCCACACAAATCCTCGGTAAATCTTGTGACGTCAGCGAAACTACGCCGCACCGTGCAGGAGACACAAGCTGCGAGCATCCTGTGCACAGCACATCATACAGTAGGACTTACTGTAAAGAAGACGCAGGGCACCTGTTTTCGAGGCGCGCTGCGCGGTGACAGTATCTACTCTTCATGCAGGGACCCCAGAGTACCAGAGCAATCTTCGGGGAACCCAAAACTGAAGCCCCAGAGCTGCGCCCCAAAACCTCAAACCTCAAGCTGTTAATCCCGAAGCCGAACAGCCAGCACAGCCAAGCCGCAAGGACCAACCCAAGGGCATCCCGAGCAGGGTCAGTGGTAAGACCTTCCCTTCGGACTCCAGCTCATCGCCTTAAACATGTTTATTTTCCCTCCAGGCTTTAGGGTTTATTGCTCATCGCCTTTCTTGATCTTTTCGGGGGTACTGGGCCTTGTTGGCTACCGCATGGCAGTTTAGACGAATGATCCCACGACAGGTCACATGGGATAGGGTCCAGAGCTGTAGGGTCAAAGACTTCCGGGGTTGAGGAAGGTTGACGGCTTAGGCTTGGAGAAACAGAACTTGGGACTTCCGTCTTGATGGGTGTAAACTGGGTTTAATTACGTTTTTTCGGGCGGGGGAAGGGATGGTTAAGCACTCAGCCCTGTAGCCAAAAAGGATTTTGGGATTTTGGGGTTGCGGGGTCAGGGGCCGAAGGCTCATCCAATGAGCTTTTTTTTCCGGGGAAGATTGCACTCGGGTGCACGGCTTACTGACGATTGATGCAGGAACCGTTCACTTCAAGCCTTTGGGCGTGTAGGCAGAACCAGCCCAGTGTTCTTCCACACTTGATCGTAGGGCACTAAGCGCAAGAACCCCTGACATCCGACAAGCTGCCAAGGCAGCTGATGAGTTCGGAAGCTTGCTCCAGCTCCGTTGGAGTTGGATCAGGTGGCATGACCTGGGATGAGAACGCTAAAACGGAGTTGCGCTTTTAGGCTTTCGAGCATGACCCTAAACCCTAAACACCAAACCCCAAACCCTAGGTACCTTGGCGGGATTCCTCGGACGTCGAGCAGCAGCAAGGCAGGACACACTGAGGCCCAGGGTTTCGGTTCGGCTCTTGACAACTCTAGACGATTTAGATGGTTCTAGGGCCGGGTTGCCTAAACCCCAAACTCCTAAACCTCAAGGATTCGGATTGAAATCAACACCTGCACTGAGATAGTGAAGGAGGGCCAATCAACTTCGGACTCCGGTCCTTCTAACTTTCTAACTGAGAACCACGCGATGGTCCGCAGCTCGACGCCAAATCCCAATACTGCCCTCCGAACCCCAAGCCTACATCGTCCTAAACCCCATCCAATGCAATGCCCCAAACCCCAATCTACCCCTGTCGCGTCCAGCTTGCAATGCCTCTGCTGGGAAGCAAAGTCTCAAGATATTGAAGCCCAGTCTAGCCTGAACACCGAAGTGGAAATTGCTGCCTCAAGCCGTTCTTTTGAGGAGGCCAAACCCACCGCTGGAAATCCTTATTCCTGAAGCCGCAACCTCAGGTAACCCCGAAAAAGAGATGTGTCTCGTGTTTAGGGTGCTTGGGTTAATTTCGCCTCTCATTTCGCAGGGTCGAGCCATTGCAAGTTTCAGGGTTTATGAGCCTTCGGCTTATCGGGACTTGGTATACATCTCGATATTGGCAGGTGCACTGGGTCCGCTTTATGGTTTAGCGTGGAGGGATTTAGGGCATAAAGTTTAATTTGAAGGCTTGTGCAACGGCAGCCTAGCGACTTACTTAGCCACGTTGCTTACCGTGTCTCCGCCTCTCCCTGACAGCACAAAGTAGGTTGAAAAGATCAAGACGACGACACGAAAGCCACACGCTAAAAACCTAAACCCTGAAACTCTACCAGTATGAACAGATTTGGATCTAGGAGTCGTGGCTTACGGCCAGGGTAGTTCTGCGGCTAAACGTCTGGAAAGAGCATACCTGAAATACTCGGACAAGGTTGTCCTTGCAAGGGTCCATATTTTTTCGGTGCCGCACTGACCCTGAGTGTAGCCATAATCCCTTTACACTACAAGAGGGCCCCTAAAACATGTTTGCATCGAGGCGGCCTGCAGCGTTAGCTGCGTTAGGGTACTCAATCGCAAAGTCTGCAACCCTCACAGTACACCGTGAGTCGGTACTTACATTTTGCCTGCTTCTGAACTTCCGCACCCAGGAGCACCAGTGATTGCTTGCGACATCATGGGCATCATGCAGGTGCTCCTTTCCGGGAAGAGAAGGCAGGGAACATCCGGGTTTAGGGGCCCACATTGATGGTCATAACTTTGTGGTTGCCAGTTCTACTGCCTTTTCATTCTCGTTGAAGTTCGAAGGGCGTTTGTGTGTTTGGAAGCAATGCTGGAAGGATCTGAACGATGTATCCAAGATGAAACCTGAAACCAAGCCGATTCTAGTTGGGAGGGCTTCAAACAAAGCCGAGTCGCGTTCTGTATCTCATACTTGTCATGAGGGTCCGTGATCGGTGCAGCAAGAAGCGATGACGCTCCTTAGTAGGGCCCGGGAAGATCACACATCCGACCTTAATTCCGCGTCCCCAGACCCGAAAGTGCTGTTTGTGAGTTCATAGGTTCAGCGTCGGATTTGATGCTCCATGTTTTCATCCGCCCTTGGGCCTCCCAGGGGGATGAGTAACGTGTGGAAGCCACGTAGAGCCTCCCTTCTGGAAGGAAGAACTTCCTAGACCCCAGCTGGCCGAAGTCTGGCACTGGAGTAGATCGATCCGGGCTCAATGCCAGTGGCTGTCAGTTTTTTCAAGGTGCTATGGCTATGGTGATGATGGAGGTGGAGGAGGATGCAGGCTTTGCATAGTGCTGCTTCAATGGAATCATGAGAGTGCTTAGCGTACTTGCAACGGAATGGTGCGACTTCTCACGAAAACGGCGCGAAACATCAAGCAAAGCTGCCAGCATGCCTTCAAAGCTAAGGCCTATGGTTGGCGGTTCAATACAACTAAGTGCCTTTTCAGCCTCCTGCAAAGCCTTCAAATTCACAACTTTGGACCCCTTTCACCCTGCGTCCCGTGCCTTGCAGCGTGAAGGGCGTTGTGAGCCGTGTCCCCAAACCCTGAACCCTCCAAGCTCAAAGCATTGAGGCCAGCCTTACCTTGCATTCCCAACCTAAGCTCTCCCTCTTCCAAATCGCAACAGTGAAGCATTCGCAGCCGGGACTCGGCCGACTGATTCACCTGAGCTCACTGCGTTACAGATCGGGCTTTGCATTGGCGTTGGGTCGCCACTCGTCTCGCGACCGGATGCAGGTATAGTTTAAGTTCTGCAGACTTCAAGCCACAAGCTTCATGGCCGAAGAAACCAAAGCCCAAACCCGAGACCCGAAAAGCCGAAATCCCTTTGGTCAAGCTCTAGGGTTAAACACCGCCCCAAAAAATCCTCATAGAACCCTTACGGCAGGGTTTAGAGCCTGAGCCCTTCGTCTGGGACTCTCCCTGAACCGTCGAACCTCCGAGTTCTCGCTGAGGGTTCCGGGCGCGTGGCTTTCCAAACAGGGCTGGGGTCTCGGTCAAGTCTATCAATGGCGGATCATCCGAAAGCTTCTCGATAATCATGAATTAGGGGGACTTCACAGTCTCCATATAGGCGTATGGAGACTGCACAAGGAAGTCTGGTACGAGTTGCCTAGACCTGTACATGGCAAAACCTTATACAAACCATTAGGGCCTGTCGAACTTTGGGTTTAGGGGTGGCTTAGGGTGGTGAACCTCAGCAGAGGCAAAGCGTGGGAGAGGCAGGGTTTGGGACCAAGGGTTCGAATTCAGGGTCCTTTGCCGAACTCCCCGAAATGCGTTTACAAAAAACTGGTGTGTTTTTTTGCAAGACTCGTGGGGCTAGAAGCAGGAATGTGGCAGGTAGGGCTTAGAGATCTGAAGTTTTCGGATTAAAGCTAGGAGGGGTTTTGGATTCAGAGCTTGTTCTTTAGGCCGTTGGCCCTTTGGAGCCTTGGACTTCAGGGCAATAATAAGGTTTAGGACTTTTGGGGGCACAAGGGTTTTTGTTATGTACGGCTTTGTACTCTGAAGGTTTGGGATTTCGGGCTTCATGCTTCAGAGGTTGCGGGGCTACGTCGAAGCACAAACATGGTGTCAGCATGCTCGGGCTGCCTCGTTTCCCAGGTAGACCAGCACGAAGATGGAGACCATCAGAGATATGCTGACCTTGCTGCTTTTGAGGGGCCCTGGAAAATACAACAATTACAGCGTTGGGCTTGCCCGGCTTCAGGCTTACGGCTTGAGGCTGAGGACTGCCAGTTACAAGGTTCTGTTGGTTTTCAGATGTTCTGGCCTGGCTACAGCTTAGCTTTCTGCTGGGCTCCGGGAACTGCTTTTGAAGATGAAGGAACGGGCTGCTGAGCCTTGGGTCTACTTGGATGACCCTAAGCACGCCTGCGCCACCTCCAAGCCCGTCCAAGCCCCAGTATCCCTGGCCTCTACCATACCCACAAAAGACTTGAACGTCTCCGTAGCATGAGACGACCAACCCAAGAGCACAGCAACCCTCAGTCATCAAACCGTACCCGCATGAGAGCCTAGCACGATAGCAGGGTCTGAAACCTGAAGACAAGGATACACTGAGCCCCAAATACACTGTAGCCTTCGCAGCTGTAACTGTAACTTTGGAGAAGGAAGCGGCGGTGCCGGTCACGACAAGCGAGGCCAAATTCACTCCACTGAACTCGGTGTAGTCCTGGAGAGATACGGGATTCGGATTCCCGGATGTTGGCTTGCACGAGAAGGGCTTTTGAAAGTGGTGTTTGAACTGTAGGAGGTGCCTGCGCTTTGACCAGACAAGGTCTTCTAGGAATCGGGCAGCTTCCAAAAACTCTCGAAGCTCGAAAATCGAGAACCAAAAGCTTCCTGGATCAGCATGCCGGCCAGGATGTCAGCAAGAATGACAAGCAGGAAGAAGAAGAACTCGGCCTCCAGAACACACACACAGACGGGGTCGGAAAGGAGAACAGAACTGAATGTCTAGACGGTCAGCAGTACAAGATCTAAGACCCTAACCTAAAGGTTGACATTTTTCAAGCATCCTCAACCCAAACAGCTGGAATTCTGTTGGTTTCGACAAGACCTTGATAACCTCGGAGTTAATTCATGCATTGTTCCTTGCTCTTAGGTCGATCGGTTATCCTGCAGGTATGGCTGAGGGCTCCGTCTCCCTGGAAGTGCGCACACCAGCCTTAACCTTGATGCATCTGCCCCCCGAAAGGCCGAAGCCTCTATGAAAGCCTACTGTGCAGCCTTCGGGCCAGCTGGCGGCAGGCTTTCGGAATCCTAGAGCATCAGACAAGAAGCCGAGAATGCCCGCACTCGAAGGTGATAGAATTTGCCCCACTCGGTGCACAGCTGCCGCAGCTTGCGCCAGCCGGCAACTGTGTTGACGTCCTGTGGTTCAGGTCCAAGCGTCTGTGCAGCCGAACCTTGAAACACCGATATCTTGACGCTAAACTGGACTTTCATTTCAGGTTCAAGTGTTTACAAAAGCCCTAGACACTGTGACTGCGAACACTGGAAACCTAAACTCTACTTTCCAACGCCGATGCCAAACCTAGACACGCATTTCAACTTCAGATCCCTGAGGTGCCAGGTAGGCGACGCTTTCGGATTTTGACTAAGGGTCCCCCTAAGGTCCTTGTCCCTGCCTAAGCTTAAGAGAGCACAGGATTTGTACCCTAGATCTCGACCCCGAAGCATTCATAACGCCAGGACCCTAACCTTACACGTAGGAGTTGGAGCTATAGCCTTTGAGCTGCAGGGGCATCGCTTTCGGTCTTCGGGGCATGTACTTTGAAGATCTTGCAAACTCTACTGAGCATCTTCGGACCTTTGGATAGCACGCTGTCCGTAATCCGGGCCTTTAAATCGCGGGTTCAAGCATCGGAAAGTGCTAGAGACGTCTTCGCATCGTCGCCAAGGCACAGAGAGATCAAGGACAGGGAGCATGTCCACCTGAGTGTAGAGCTTGGCTTCAGGGCTTCGAGATTAGCGGCTTGGGGTTTGGGGTGGTTCCGGTGCCTTTTCAGATAACTGAGTCTGCCTGGGGTCTGCTTTTCGGTCCCTTTACTGGCCGGAACAGACAAAGATGCATCTTGCAGTACTTCCCGGAGAATCTGTGGTGCAGCGGCTTTCTATCAGGATCTTGTGTCAACCCGTATCCATCCTGTGGCCTCATGGGGGCTCGTCTCACAGGAGATTCCAGGCCTCTGGGTGCCAAGGCATGCAATGCTGAAGAGAGAGCCTTCCTCACGTAACTTAAGCTGAGCCAGATGCCGCCAAAGGCTCTGCAAGCCTGAAAGCTAAATTTATGACATGCTCCCACCAAGACCACCACTCCTGCTTCCCAGAGGGCCTGAATTACCTGCACTTTGCATCCTTCCCCTGAATCCTACAACACTATTCATACCCTAGAAGCTCGCAGCCCTGGCCTCCAAGAATGCCCCCTCAACCCTAAATTATCAAAGTGCCGCCCCTCCAAGAACCCGCAGGCAACCCTGATTATGAAGAACTATAAGATCTATAAGCACTCTGAAGCCCTAAAGCATCCATTCCGTCTCGGCACCTCCGCAGGACAATGGCGTCGAAACTCTCGCGACACGGAAAGCATTGCAGCGCAGCTGCGCATCAAACATCGGCGTCTGAGATGGGATAAACGAGGTGCATTCATGAGTAGACTCTCGTGGTCCATCTGTGTATGAAATGTGTGTATACATATACGTAGGTGTGTATATATATACACACATGGATGTATGTGTGCATGTATGCATGTATGTACCTATGTACGTGTGTACGTACGTGCGTTTGCACGTCTGTCAATCTGTCTGTCTCTGTCTGTACGTATATGTATATACACATACATAAAGCTGCCTTGAGATAGGGAGTGTTAAATGATATTGTTTGTCATAAGTCATAAGCTCACTGACTACTCCAGGCCACTATCTTGGGGTATCAGAGTGGAGGATAAAGGTCAAGTCTTGTAGAGGTTTGAAGGTTCCGCACATAAACAGAGTGCCACGACTTCTTGAAGGTTTAGCTTTCTTTGATTTCAAGCTTTGGAGTGTCATCCCGTGGAACATGCAGGGCTCTCGGCTGTATGGTCTCGGATGTCCGATCGAAACTTTTGGACGCAAGTCAGAATGTCTCTGGGGCCTTCTGATGTTGTGCTGCTTTTTGGTGTCCGCGAACTCGTAAAGTAGCTGAAACTGTTTGTGGACATGGAAAGGTGTCCGCGGTTTCTGATGAAGGTTTGAGAGCACCTTGGACGAACGGGCTTTCCATCTTGACAATGTGCTTTCTGGACTTGATGCAACCCAATTTCTGAATGGCTTTTGGCCACTGGTCGGAACGAATGCTGTTAGTTTGCTATCGGGGCCTTCTTGCACTCTAGACGCCTACAAGGTGCTACCCGACACCCCCAAGGCGCAAACCTCAAAATCCCGAAGTCATCTATCCAAAAACCACTCCATACCACTCCCATCACTCCTCATCAAACGGCTGGACACTGCTTGACGGAAGAGTGGACTTAGCAAATGGATTGTAGAATTAGGGTAGGCAAAGCCAACAGGGTCCTGAGGACCCTACTATGCCTCCCAAGCCTTTAGGTGAAGTTTCGCTTGAGAACGCTGGGTGTCCAGGCACAATTTCGCTTCGGATTTTGGCTTTTCGGCTGGTGTGGGGTTGGTGAAATACCAAGGAAATGTAATGTGGGGGCCTCAGTCATCAGAAACAGGTTTCGGGATATACTACAGCATACTGATATAAGGCTAGGCCGTCGCGCTATTCGTTCGGTGGTGGCTCGGAGCTCACATGCATTTGCCAACCAAAAACTGCAGCTTCGAAGGGACCACCACCCCCCTCCCCTCCCCCACCCTCCCCCCCAACAAACAGAGGCATCTGCCCGAGGGGAAGCTAGGACAATAAACCCTACATCCCTTTACACCTTCAACCCCAAGCCCTAAACATCCCTCAACCCCCAACTGAAGTCCGGGCCCCGGAGCCCAAAGCTTCCCCAAAGACTGCTGCAAGGCTGCCTCCACATGTCCACGCCGCCGACGGCGATAAAACTTAAGGAAGATAACATGCCTTAGGGGCTTTATGCGGGGTCGGTAACCTTGTGAGACATACTAGTACTAGCTTCAGAAATTAGGATTTAAGGCTTGAGGCTTGCGGCGTCTAGGGCTTCTACATAAACATGTACATTGAGAGTTCAACAGGGTTTTTGAGGTTTACGGCTTAGGGCATGGCGCATCGGCTTGACGGATAAAGGTAGGCTTGAGGCTGCCCAATAACAGTTTCAAGGCCGCACTAGTGACAACTCTTGAACTTGATCCCGGCCCGATTCCAAGGAAAAAAAACCCAAGACGACCCAACACCTTAACCCTAAACCCAAAAGCCCAACCCCCCCCTTCATTTCCCACCCCCAGTCTCCCACAGCCCGGACCCCTCGCAAACCTGTAGCCCTTCAGCAAAGGCTCAGAGAAAGTTGGATGGCCAAAAGCCCACCACCAGTATCGCCGATGCCGTATCTGAACCAAAGCGGGACTGCAGTCTTTGGGCTCCACGATGTGAGGTTTTTTGCAGTGTGCCAGGGTCCCAGAATTTGGGACCCTGCACATCATCTTCCTTTCCCAAAGTAGCTCTGCCCTGGCCCTAACCCCAAACAGTGACGCAAGCTCTAGGCGCAGGGCTTACAGAGTCTCGGAGGTAAGCGAAAGAGCCCGAAGCCAAGAACTCGCCAAAAAAATGTGGAGCTGGTTCATCTGGGTAGCTAGAAGTATGGACCTCCGCACTTTCAGCCCCGATGGAACTCTCAAGCCTAAGCCAAGTCCATCCCTCCTACTCTCCAGCCCAACCCCCCTAAACCCTGAACTCTTTATGCCCCTCGAAGCCCTGGAGGCTGCATCAGGTAAACAATGAGATTTCACAGTCTCTTGGTTAAGAACCCGGACACTTTGGAGCCTTTGGTCTTGGGGCTTTTCGGGTTTAGGAGCCCCTGGTCCTCAGACTTAAACTAAAGCACCCGGGGAGCGCCTGGGCCTAGGAACCAGCCCGTGTTGCGCAAGCGCAGGAAGGAAGGAATGAAGATTGCGATCAAGGTGAGGATCAGGTTCCTTGTCGGGTCTTTCGGCCCGAGTTGGTTGGGTTGTGGGGGTTCATGCGGAACAGGACTGCAGACTTTTCGATTCGTGGTTTAAGTCTTGGTCTTGGCACGTGGGATTTGGGTCTTTAGGGTGGCGTTTGATCTTGTTCGGTTTGGGTTTCTTGCTGCACTTCGTTGACGGACTAGCTTGAAGGCGCAGGGTGCCTGGAGGTGTACCCTGAAGCCTAAACCCTAAACCCTAAACCTGAAGCCTAAACCCGAAACCCTAAACTTTCACCCCGAAGCTCCAAAGAACTGAGTCGGAGCCTGGGGGCCTGGACGCCGGTACGTGACACTGGAAGCCTCCGACTTGAAGCTCGGAGCCCAAAGCTCTCAGCCCGATTTGCTGCAAGTTGAATATAAATCAAATATATATATATATATATGTATGTATGTATGTATGTATGTATATATACATATATATATACGTATGATTATATATGTATGTATATCAGAATTCATTATAGTTTATGTTCCTGAGCCACTCAAGCTAAGAGGCATTCTGATACAAGGAGGAACAACCACCTGCAGCAGCTGCTCACGAAGACATGTTGGGAACTGCGCATCGGGAGCTGGGCGGGGAATGTTTTGAAAGCAAAGCAAACAAAAAAAGAACAAGAGATGGCGGTACCGCATTCTCCTCTGCATAGTACAGATGACCCAGCATAAATCCATCGGATGAAACGCGACCATTAGATCAGAGAACTTCTGGGCCCCTGCCCGAGTGCCACCGTGGCCGTGGGTTTCTATGAACATGGATGAATACCTCGTACATAATTAGGAGACACGTCTTGATTGACTTCTTGCTACATGTAAACATGAACATGCCTGCACGCATGGCCCTTGGCACACGCAGGCCAAGTACCAACTTTAAGCAAGGAAGGTGGTGGGGCTCCTTTTAAGATTACACTTGAGTCCCTTGACAGGATCCTTCTGCTTGCTCTGAAGTCTGAGAACCACTGATCCCTGGGTTGCCGTGCCATGTTCGAAGGCAAAGTCTTGAATGGTGGCTCCGAAAACTCACCCTCCACCCTCCAGGCTGGGGCGTGGGAATTTTTGAATTTTTGACCAATAGCAGCTCTGAATCCAGGCGAGGGTGAGGAGGGGCAACACTCAGCGCAGCCAGTTCCATTCCAGGCCAAGAAACCAAAAACAGGCTCACGCAGCAGCCAACTGCAGTCAGAGAGGGTCGTAGGCTACTAAGCTTTTGTTCGAACCCTCCGAACAAAGTGCATCGCTCCCTCCTCCCGGATCCCACCCGAGTTCGCCTTTTCACTTCGCTGGATCGCACGAAGGAAGTAGAGGAACCTCGAAACAGGTTGGGGTATACACTATAAGGGCTATGCTTCAAGACGGAGTCTGTTGGCAGAGGTGGCAGGGTTATGGGGGTTTGGGGATTAGAGCTTGGTTTCGACTCACGGTGCTTATGGCTTCACTCAAAATGTGGGGTTTGGGATGTTAGGCTTCGGCTCAGAGCCTCTGATACTGCGGATGTTGAACTTTAGCAATCGACAATCCAAGACATCCCGCCAATGGCCGCAGAACTGTTGCCTTGTCGTTTATCTCGGCTGTGTCGAAGACACCACAATTTCTTTTAACACTCAATGCCACACTCCCTGACACGTCCGCCCTTGACTCTGAAGCCGCATTGACACCCACATGTGACAGCTGCAATTATATATTTGCGGAAGCATATGGGAGGCCTCAGGGCCTTCTTAGGCCCTCAACCCTAAATGCGAGGCTCCGCGCGCACTTTAGGGATTCTCTGGGCAATGACAAGGACCCCTCGTCCTTCTTCGTATCTCGGTCTCGAAACGGATGCTGGGCAGCCTAGATCTGTGGAACTGCCCGGGCCCTAGCGTTCGTACTCTGTATCGGTGACGCGGGCTCCTGCGGACGTAGCAGACGAACCCCAGTCTGTCAAAGGCAATTTACGGTTGCAAAAGAAGAAGTGGATTATGAAATGGATACTACAGCCACTTCCTGAGCCCCTAAACCGTCGCTTCCTCCAAGAACCCAAAGGTAAATTCCGAGGCCCAAGGGCCTTGGCACAATCTGCTTCGCCGAGGGGCAATTCCTCAATACTGACCTCACCACCAACTTCGGCTGTCTTGAAGAGCCTCGAGGCTTAGGCTCTTAAGGGTCTTTTGTGGAGAGCCTGAGCCTGTGGAGGTTTTGGGTCACACATGGCAGAGGACCTGCCAGGAACTTTTTTCGAGCCTCGGGGCTTTGGTGGTTGTGGGATGTGCTTGACTCTTTTTTATAGGTCGGGCTTTTGGCAGCCAAATGGAAAGGAGGTATCTCAAACGAAGGTTCTGCATGCCCACACCATGCATGACAAGCATGCGTGCATGCACACGGTCTGACATGCAGTGCATTTTTTGCGCGTGCTCCTAATGCACTGCGAAACTCTTCATTCGCACCCCGCCTTAAACCCTGAACGGCCGTAGAGTCTAGAGGCCTCAACTACAAACCCTGAATGGACCGCTGAACCCAGCTCCAAACCCAACCCTGAATCCGAAAAGCCCTTTGGCCACAAGAGAGAACAGGGGAAAAAGGGGGGACGGGGCAGCCTCCTTTCTCTCTCCAGCTGCTCCTGCTTCAAGCGCTCCTGTTCTTCTTTCTCCTCGGGGGCTCCGACACAAAGGCTGTTCTCTACTACTTCGGGAAGTTTGGGTTTAGGGTTTACTCAAGAGGCTTTAGATTCGGGGGTCGGGATTTTGAGTGCTTGGGGGGGGTGTGTGTGTGTGAAGCAACTTGGGAGGGCTTGGGGTTAAGGTCTTTCACAAGTCGATGCTGGTTTCCCGAAAGACAGCACAACTTTCCCGCACCCCTTATTATGCTCAGAACGCCCCCGCGCCACCTCCTGCAGTATAAGACTGTTACAAACAGCCCAAAATTCTGACGCAAATTCTCAACCAAATATAGACTAATCTTCACATATCATAACATAGACTAAGGTAATATATATATATATACAATAACAATAATGCTCTCTCTCTCTCTATCTATCTATCTATCTATCTATCTATCTCTCTATCTATCTATCTATCTATCTATCTATCTCTCTCTCTCTCTGTCTGCCTGTCTGTCTGTCTGTCTGTCTGTATGTATGTATGTATGTATGTATGTATGTATATCAACATGCAATAATATACAGTTATATACCAAAAGAATCCGTCCTCCAGCTTCAGGTCCTTCGAGCTCTTTTCTTTCGTCTCTTCGCGCGGCCTTTGACAAGAGTCAGGGATCATTCACTAGACTGGGATGCAAAGCCTTTACTCGTCACCCCACTGAAGTGGGATTTAGGATTTAGGGTATTGGGGTGAGGCTCTAGGCCTTTTTTGCCTCCTAGAGCTCTATAGGTCTCTAGGGCAAGGGAGTCAGGGCTTTTTTGATGGCTGGTACGTGGTCGTCCCTACGAAAACCCTTGGAAAGGACTCATCATAGCTCCGGACGTAAAGAAATCAGGGCTTCCTATGGTCCAAGACCTCCTTTCCCAAGTCCTTCGGAGTGCAACCATTAACGTCTATGGGGCCTTGGGTTCAGGTTCAAAACAACAAATCAACAAGACACTCAGAACCAGAAACCCCCGAAAAACGAAGGCCAGGGCATCCCGTGGGCTGGACGGCAACTGTCGGAGTTGAGGGCCCAGAACCAAAGCCTAAACCCGAGCTTGCATTGGGGGATGCGAAGAGAGGGAAACACTTTTGGCGCAGCCCTGAAGAGCTCCCAGGAGCCACTGCTACTTGGCTTTGACAACAAGACCGATACAAAAGCCCTCATAAACTCAATTACAGCCTGCATGGGCTCTTTCACTCACGCCGTGCAGTCCCAGAGTCCTGAGGGTCTATGCACCCCTGCAGTCTGTCCGTACCCTAATAATAAGGGTTATTCGAGAATATACTATGTAAGCGCATGGTCCGAATCCCGGTTGGAAAGCAACTCAGGTCTCGACGAGGTTGGCCGTTCGGATTGTCCAGATTGTAAAGCAGTTCCTTTCCGGCCGGCAGAGAACCCGCTAGGTTTCACTGGGGGTTACAATTCCGTATAAAATCGGATTCTCTTTTGTGAACAGGACGGATTTGCCTAGCACATCCCCGTCTCCTTGCCCCGCTCAAAAAGCTTAAGGCTCAGAAGGTTTAGGAAGTCTTTTTGCCTCCCACCTAGCTAGGACGAAGCCCACATTCGCCGCAGCCGTGTAGGTTTGGAACTTAGAAAATCTAGGATTCAGGGTGTCTCCAGGCAGAGGTTCCGGCTTTAGAGTGTGGAGTCTTTGTGCGACCTCCCGGCATTGAACTGCGATCGGCCCGAGCCCCGATTTGGATGCATTGCAGGCAAGGCACTCAGCTTGCCGATCGATCTCGCCCTCAGTTCCATGATCTTGCAGCCACGGAAGTAAGCAAGAAGCTCATATGGGTTTGCTTACTCAACGACCAGCTTGACGGAATTATAGCTAAACGCCGGACCACATCCTGGCTACGATCAAGCTGAGAACCTAAGCTGAGCGGCTTAGGACACACGAGCTGGGTGTGCTCAGTGTTTGGGTGGACGTGGATCTCCAAACTCGCAGACCCCAAACCCCCACCTCCCGAACTCTCAAGCCTTTGACTTCAAACTCCCATGTAGCACCCCAAGGCCAGATCCCAAGTCACCACTCCTCAGGCCATGAACCCAGGGCTGTGCGAACCAGGACGCGAGTCCGCCTCCAACTTGTCCCTGTGGGCACGTCTACGATCTCTCGGGTCTCAAGCTTAGGCCGAATCGCTTCCCACGTTTAGTAAGCCACCCCTAATGTAAAAACTGCCGGCCCCGGGGTTCTGCGGTCTCGGTCGCGCAATTGAAAGTTAATTAAAAACAATAAGGGTGTCCTGGGCATTGTATGAGTGTTAATAGAGCCAAGACTACAGTAGTACTAAACCGAAAGGACCGAGGCTGTAGGGTTTAGGGGCTTAGGGCTCAGGGCTTAGGGCTTAAGGCTTTAGGGTTTAAAGCTTAGGGCTCCAGGCTTGGGGGCTTAGGTGTTTAAGGCTCAATTAAGGCTCTAGGGTTTAAGGTTTAGGGTTTAAGGCTTTAGAGCTTAAGGGTTACGGGCTTAAGGTTTACCCTCCCTCCCTCCCTCCCTCCCTTCCTCGCTTGTCTTTGCATCAGTCGAAGACTGGTTGTCTGGCTGCCTAGACAAAAGGAGGCCGGCCTGCCCCTATGCGCCGGAAACCCCCCTTATAATATAAAAAATAAACCCCCGGGTTTGAGTTTTTATATTAGGGAGGGGGGGGGGGTGGTTGAATAATAGGGGGAAGGGATTAGGTTTTCAACTCGGACTTGCCGAGTGAGGCCTGAAGTTGACGGCTTAAGGCTCGGGGCTTCCGGGCTTTGGCGTCGTCGATGATCCAGGGCCAAACTCTCATGCCAAGAAGGGCGGAGTTCTTAGCGTGGAGGCCATCACTTTTCGAAAGCTTCAGGGTTCCTCTCTGGAAAGCTTCAGACGTGCTAGATCCCATGTTTTCCAGGGGCCTTGATTCAGGATAGGCTGTTGGGGCATATTGTAAGAAGGATTAGAAGGACATTCTTGCTAGTTTTTGGCTAAATCCTCCACTCGGCCTAAAGCCTACCTTTTCCAGCCAGGCCTCCTGAGGTGTTGCGGGGTTATCAGTGTGAGTTCGCACCGAAAACGATGTACCTAAATCCTGCAACACCCTGCAATCTCTGCAAGCCCGATGCCTATGCCCATATGGACCGCTTATGTACTGCAATAGAACGACTTCAAAACCATACAGTGCGAGTCCTGTATATCCTACCTGGTCATCTCCATGCTGACGGCTTTGTGATCGCCATTTGGATCCTCCATCTTCGACCTCGGGAGCAGTAACAATAAAGGCCTCAGAATTTTGGGCATTGGCTTCGGGCTCCGGGTTTAGAGGGTGGATTTGGGGCATGGGGTCCATTAAATCCTTGCAGGGTGTCGGCTCTTACTTCAGGGCTGAAGTTTACGCTTCAGGGCCTTGGCTTAGGATTTTCCGGTTCGACGGCTCTGCTGGAGGGTGCAAGTTCTCGGTTTCTTTATCCCTACAACCCAGCAGCTGAAAAAGAAGATGGTTTGCTCTAAATCCTCCTCCAACCCAGCACTCGCAGCTTATTCGGGTCCAGTCCGCACCGCTATTTCGGTGTGCAGGACGTGGAGGGTAGGGTCGATCGTTGATCTGCCTGGACAAAAAACCCGCCAACACTTAATCAAGGAAGATAATCCTCAGAATTGGAATTCGTTGTTTTCCTGCTGCCCGCATGGATAGAAACAGGAGCAGTAGGGGGGAATTGGGGTTTAAACTTCAGAAATTGAGATCTCAGGTCGTAAATTAAAATCGAGCCCTATACAGTACAGTCCCTGTTTTCGATAATCCACGGGCATCTAGGTCCTCTGGGAATTGTGAGGCTTCGGAAGGTGCAGCAGGAAATTGATGATTCATGTCTTGAGTCTGCCATCGGGGCCGGCATACACCGTTGGACCAGGATGTTCAGTTGATTTTACTGCCTGTTCCCCTATGTCTGGAATGAAGTCATGAAAGAAACGTATCGGTAGTTTGCTGCACCTGCATCAGCGGACACTTTTCAAGCCCTGCACAAGTATGAGACGAGTCTAGGCGAATGTCAAACCACAACAGGAAGCCCGCGACCCAACCAATGCCGCCGGCCAGACCCTATCAAAAAGAACCTCTGAAGATGTGGTGGCGTGGTGCACCACACTGAGTAACAGAATAGAAGATGCGCAAGTGCATAATCAGATCAGCATGCTCGGCAGCAGCGAGGCAACGCTCCGCAATCCGAAATCCGGGAAGGACCCAACCCCTGACTTAAGCGTAAGCCCTTACGCCTACAGACTCCAAGACTCGCTGCACTCGATGCACGGCCGAGTTGCCAGGCGGCAATTCGCCGCCGCGCGGCTTTTCGAGTGCGAGAATTGGGTCGGAGAAGTTCTCCTGTAGGAGCCTGCAGAACGAAAAGCCCAAAAACCGCAATCAGGGCTAGTAAGGGCTACTGACTAATTATAAGGGTACTATAGGGCTAGCAGCGGCTATCAGAAGGTTACTGCTTCATGTCAGGGGTACTACAATACTATAAGGTTTGCTATGTGGGTGCTATACCGCTATCATGATGTGGCTACTAGAATAAGGAATGTCACTATGGCTCACTATGGTTCCAAGTAGATCTGTCAATTGAAGGCCATCAGACTCTCTGCGAGGAAACCAGCAAAAACCTTCAACAACTTGCAATCGATAGACGAAGGACGCTGGCTAGCTAGATACAATATTGGTAGCGAAGCTCGTGGAGACATGTTGGCAGTGGTGGTGATGTGGGATGCTACAGGATGATTGCTGTCGTCGTCTGCGTCGCGTTAGCCACAGCAGTCATCGTCGTAGATGGCATGGTCGTCGAGATGGTGGCGAAGCGAGTTGAAGCAAAACATGCTCCTGGTCTCTTTAACTACAAGAATTCGAGTGATCCTACACGGGCGTTGTGTCAACACATTGCTACTGGTAGGCGCGACGTCGATGCAATTGATTGCTTTGGGCCCTCCCGTCGTTACTTTCAAAGAATCGACTGGGACGCCACACGTACGTGGGCCTATAGTAATCCTTGTGCTCGCACTGTGGCCTGTGGCGCCACGTGGTCTCCTGCGGCCCTTGGTGGTCGCATGGCTGTTCGTCCTGCTACTTCTTGTATCTGGCACCCTTATGAGGAGCTCGGCACTTGGGAGCATGTTGCGTGGCTTTGTCCTTGCAGGCCGGCAGGGTCTTATTGCCCTCGGCCTCGCTTGGCGCTCTCTGCCAGGTTACGTTGCTCTGCATCGTTGGTCGGTTGATTACAGCCCAAGAAAAGCTCTGGGCAACTTTTCATCCCACGTGATTTGTTTGCCGCTTCCTTGGGCTCTTGGTTAGGTCGCTTGCTTGCTTGGTTGCCTCCCTTGTGTGGTTGCGCTGGCTCCTTGTGGGCCGCGCTTGTGCTTTGCCCGCTTCGGGGTATTATCACCTACAACGTTTTATATCCTACACGCCGTTACTGCAGTCTTTTGCCATATGCAGCCCAGGAACGAAGAACATAGTCTTGCTTGATACATCCACACGTTTGCGCATCGAGAGCAAATCGTATTCACTCCGCGGCCATGGAAGAAACTTCACGGTAATCTCTCCTGAGCTATGAGAGCAGGGGGAGCTGTAAGTGTATGCCTTCGTCCAGACACACCACTCGCGGGAGGGATTTAGTCCAGGCTCAGCGGCATGGCAGTCTTAAAAATATGCTGTGGGCATTGATGTTTCGGCTGTGAGGATTCGGCCTACTGTCTCGGGACGTGGCCTGCGGCAAGTCTTATGGAGTCTATGGTCGTTTGTAAGATCCCTCGAGCCACCACCGGCACCCAAAAGACAGGATCCACAGCCGCAAGATCGAATCCAGCACCCGAGCCCCAAATCCCAAACCCAGAACCCTGTCCTGACGCACGACTGCCGGCACAGCTGGGTCTCCCAAGAAGACTGTGACTACAGCGCGAAGCTTGTAAACTACGACCCTAAACCGGAAAGCCTGCAGAGAATTGAGATGTTTGACATGGTGCTACGAGTGGCTTAAGAAGCGACAAAAAAATAACGATAACATCGTTTCATGAACACAATGCTGCCCCTGCTGTTCATCGCTTAATAACGAAGCCGTACAATGCTACGTCCACTAAGCGTCCTTATCCTCAGCTCCTCGCAACAGTATCCTGTATCCTATCCGACGTGCCAAATACCTTGCCCTTGCAACAACCACATAGAACATCCTAATCACCTTACAAGACATCCAACCCTAAACCCTAAACCCTGAACCCTAAACCCTAAAACCTAAACCCTGAACCCTAAAACCTAACCCTAACCTTAAACCCTAAACCCTAAAACCTAAACCCTAACCCTAAACCCTGAACAGCTACGCCAAGTAGCCTCGAGGCTCCGGTCTCCAAAGCTTTCTCAGCCAAGGCGCTGCGCTGTGCTCTGGAGCCGATAACACCGACCTCAAGGCTGTGAGCCTCTATATGGGGTTTAGGGTTTAGGTTTTTTTTTTAACGGCCCTTTGATGACTGCCAAGCGTTGCGAAGCGTATCAACCCTTGCGGGTAGGCACCAGGTCCACATTTCGGACCCTTAGCAAAATAAGACCCTGAGTCCTGTGGCAACTCTCACTTTCACTCACCCTTCGGCTCGACCAACTGTTAGCACCCCGGACGTGCAGCAGCCGATGGTCCCTCTTCATCCCCTCGTGAACTTCCGTCCGCTTGCCCTGCCGGTAGAATGCCCTGTGCTCCACAAGCTTGTGGTATGGACACCTTGAGTCGTTTGGCTTCCCCCGCGCCATGAGCAACCGGGCCCACCTCCACTTCAACCCACCTGCGATGACGAGTCTGGGGCCTGTTCATCTCATCGAAGACGGCCCAGTCGTCCCAGGTCCTCCAGTCTTGAGAGTGATTGCGTCGCCGACGAGCATGACGGAACATTTCGTCGATCCTGTCCATTTCGCTCTCCCAAGTCGACTCATCGGCAGCGGCTGAGCTCTCGTCTTGGTCCCGGCAATGGTGTTCATAGGCTTCCTGCATCGCATTCTCCCACTCTTGCTCCTCCTGTTCGCGTGCAGCCTGTTCCATAGCCCTGGTGTGGTCGGCGTGCTGGGACTCCTGTCGGTAGAGCTGCTCCTCCTGGATAATCTCTTCAATCTCATCCAGCTGTGTGTCCACAATCTGGGCTTGCATACAGGATGACCCCGCCGACGAGGACGGGCATGCCGAGCAAAGCCTTGGCCACCACTGCTGGAGCCAATCCGTGACCGGCTTGGAAGCACCATCGTCCGTCACCGTGGCCCCTTCTCCAGCAAAGGTCACTAAGAGCGAGTCAAGAAGGTCGAAGAGCTCGCAGTTTCCCACAGAGATGCGATACGCACGAGCTCTGCGCAACAGCCCTTGGACATGTGGATTAACATCCCAACCAAGGCCTTGAAGTCGCTGAAGGTCATCACGAAGATCAGTGAGAACGGTGGTGGAGGAGGGTGAGGTCGTCAAGCTCTGGAGGGGTCCTGTCCTGGGGTTCTGCATGAGGGACTGATGGTCCGGCTCGACTTCAACCTCCACCAGATCATTCCTGGCGTAACTCAAGATCTGTGAGCATTCCATCATGAGCCTTCGCAGCAAGTCTATGAGCCCCACCGTCATCATTGCCAGGTCGTGGTCGTCCAGCTCGCGGAGCGTGTCCACCATGTTGTCCGAGGCGTCCCTAGCCAGAGCTCTACCCCGTTGCTGGACGCTGCGATCCATTTCTCCCATCGAGGGGCTGGTGGAGATCCCCAAAAGCTGTCTCCACAAGTCCACAGCTTCCACAGTGGTCATCGCTGTTGGTGCTGCTGGGTCCACTGGCGGGGTAGCTCTCGGTGTAGCGTGCTCGTACCTCGGTCTCGCATCCCTTGAGGAGCTCGCCCGGCAGCCCCCGTCACGAGGGGCTCGAAACCCTGACGGGCCCTAATGTTAATTCTTTGCATCGCAGAAACTTGTGGCTTTCGCCTAAACCAGAGCCTGAAGCCGAAACCCCTCAAACCGCAGCCATGAGAAACTCCCAGACTGAAATCGAAAGCAAGGCCCCCATGACCGGCAGGATTCCGGGCGCAGCATTGCTTTAATTTAAGGCTTGTATATTTCGGTTCGTCTATGAAGTCTGGAAGCCCAAAACCCTCAAAATCTCAACCCTTTCCAGGTCCCTCCTGGAACCGTCTATGCCCCTTGACAGACACCGTTTATAAGGATCCGGAAACCCTATATAAGCCTTCAACTCCCACAACTCCATGCCAAGAGTCGAAGGCGACCTCAGCTTGAAGTTGGAAGTTCTCTTCCGGGATGACGTACCAACCAGGAAGCATGTTTTGGAACCTGGGCACGACTTTAAGGTCTTGTGGCTTTGGGCTTGAGGGCTGTATTGGTGTTTGTATGGTTTCAATGCAAGAGGCGGGTGTTCAGCTTTTGGTCGGCTTTTGGGGTTTACTCGGTGCATGATTGGTCGGAATTCGCAAGTAAGGCCCTGAAGAGGGCTGTAGTGAAGGACGATATGGGTTTAGGGTTTATAGTGTTGGGTTCCACTGTATCCCTGCATCCTCGAGGATCAGATTTTCATCTGACTACATTCCGGAAGTCCTACGTATTACATTTTTGCCTATGGATTGACTCAGAAAGGCCACAGCTTCATTGACAGCCTTCTGCCGCTCCTGCGTTCAAACCAGATACACAACATGAGCCGTCCCGATTGGGCTTCAATCTGTAAATATCCCGGGATTTGGAAATCTTGCTTCATATTCCTAAACTCCACAACCCTACGTTCCAAACCCTGCTACCCTGATCCTTGCCCAGCCACGTCTTGTACTTGTCAGCGATAATCTCTGTGTTGAACTTGTTCCACGTCTCTGTGGAGCAGTATGCGTACTTCGTGGCAATGGGTGCATTCCTCCAAGGGGCAAGGCAACATGCAATTCTTCTACCGGCGCCATAAACCCAGACGCATGCGTTTAGGGTTTGTTGGCTATACCATGTGTGCATCTGTATCCTCGCCAAAACTGACACGGTATGTTGATGCCATCAGCAACGAAAGTCTGCAATGTGTAGCCGTGCAGAGTTGAGGTGTTGGGGTTTTCATGGCAAAAGACATAGTCATCCTGCTGCACACTCGGCCAGCCCCGTGTCCCTTCAGGTATACTGAGAAGGACTACGGCTTCGCATTCAGGGCTGACTACATCCTACACCCCAAGAAATATAAACCCCCACCCTAAACCCAAAACGCTACACCCTAAACCAGTCTCAGGCTACGGCCTGGAGCCATGAACTACTTTGGGGTCTCGCGGTTCAGGGTGTGGGGATGTTTGGAGCTTAGGGATTCGGAGTTTAGGGTTTGGGGTGCAGGCTCTAGGGTCATAGGGTTCCGGGATTTAGTTTTTGGGGCTTAGGGTTTAAAGTGGGGGGGGGGGTCCTCATGAGCAGACACATGATGGCAAACTTCTTCTCGATGAGCATGACGTTGGGTGCATGAGCGAACATGCTCAGCACGAGGCTGGCAAACAAGCCTCCGGGATGGCTACGACGTGGGACTGTAGCTCGTAAGACGATAGCTCTAAGCAAGTCTAGAAGTTCAGGGCTTTCTGGATGGGTTGGAGCCTGCCTGTTTTTGTTGCCTGGAGGGTTTCCGCTGGAGGTTTCTGCATTCCGCCGAGGCTTCTGCAATAATTCACACCACGAGATATCGATGCTTCTTTGCAGAGCTGATAGTAAGGGCAGGAAGCAAATGGTGTAATGAACCACGAAGGAGTTACCATGGCAGAGGTGTGATCGCAAACTTTCGTAGCAACTGCTGTGCCCGCGAGTTAACAACTTCATGTGTTTGGGAAATCACCGGTCAGTGCCTTCATTACAAGACGGGAATGGCGAACCCTCATTAACAGTGAGAGCTTTTGGGCTTGCTGGCGCTATGACCACAGGACCAACACCATCATGTTGCGCAGCTGTAAGGAGCCAATTATGGTAAGGGCATGGGCTGCGGCCCCAAACCGCCTAAACCGCTTTGCATGGGGTGCTGTGTCTCGGAACCCGACTCCCCAAAAAAATCAAAAGTAAACAAAATAAGCAACCCTTAAGACCCTCAGTACGTTCGAAACCCCCAAACCCAACAAACTACAGTACGTGCCATGCCCAGGGAACGAGCTGAAGCCCGGAACCCCAAACCCCCGAACCCTTAAACGAACGAAGGAACAGGCCCAAAGAATGAGCTGAGTGATGAAGCTTGCGTGACCTCGGCTCGATACAGATTCCAGTTCGAAAGGTTCAAATAGTTCACTACAGACATTTTCGGGTCCATGGTTCAGGATGTTGGGGTTATGTGGTTTACAACTGGGGGCTATAGGCACTTCAGGCTTGAGTGTTTCAGGAGTTAAGCGACTCGCTAGGATTGTTAGAAAGCGGGAAAGCAGCCACGAGCAAGGTATGAATGCCTCCACAGGGATCATAGCCAGTCAATGTTTGCAAAACTCCAAGCCCAACACTGCAATAAACTTCCTTGTGACCTTACTTCGCAGCGTGTATTCAAGACCATAACTTACGACATGGGAGGAGTCGTCGGTTCCGGACATCCAGCCATGACCGGGGGCAGAGGCTTCCGTATATTTGGGTGCGTAGACTATGGGAAATCCTGATATTACAACTTGTTGCTGCTGCTGTTGTTTGTGTTTTATTTTCTTTCTGTTGTTGTTGCTGTTGTTTGAGGCGTGTTGACCAATTGCCTTCCGAACAACAATCAACCCTTTGGCCTTAATTACAAGCTCGAAACTTCAACAGCGAGCACGACAACCTGTATAGTATAATTCTAATTTCACGTGTTATACTATATATTCACTTGAATATTGGGGAACCGCACAGCCGCTTCTGCTTGCGTGTAGTGATTTGCAGATCAGGGGTTCAGGGTCAAGGCTTACAGTTACTCAGTGCAGCAGCAATACCCTACACCGGGAATGAACACAACGACCACCGTCAAAATCTCCCCAACTGCCGACGCGAATTTCTAACAAGCCTAAACTCCAACAAAACTGAGCTCTGAGCGCCCTTAAGCCGCCTAAACCCTAGAGCACCGAGAGCTATACCTTTGTAACCCCTTGTGTATGCAGTGTATTCCCCCAAATCCGAAGAAAAAACCCTGCACAGCCTGAGTTGGACCAGCTCCGAATATGGTGACTGTCTGGATCCCATTATCGCCAACCGCCAACCGCTTTATGGCAGCCTCTGGCTGCAAGCCTAAACAGCTTAGGGTTTAGAGTTCACCGAGAGAGGTCAGTTTCCAAACCTCACCGCGTTTCGACTCGCACGCGCGCACGAAGCAGACACGGATTGCAGGCACAGGCCATGACTACAGTACACCGCTACACAGTGCCAATTGAAAGCCTCCGCAAGCACTCCAATAAAACAAATACCGGGTTTAGGGATCAGGGCTTTTCTTTAAAGGCTTTCGCCCCTCTTCAAACTGCACCTCTGTCCGAATAGCCTTGAGTTGTCGTCGAAACACAAACAGAACTTGTTGGGCCCCCTTTTCCGCAATCCATGTGCAACATGAGTCATACCTGCTCGACAGAGAAGGTGTGAAGGTTCCCAGGTACAAGTTAATCAAAGTTTCCTTCGGGTACACTGCAGTCTATTGGGGTTCAATTGCGAGATCAGGTGTAGGGCTGAGTCATCCTCATACCATGCCTAAACCCCCAACGTCAAACCCCAAGACCGTACAGTCACAACCCCCTGTTTCTTCGCATAGCGGCAGGCGGGCCAAAATCCTCGGTTGATGAGGCCAATACGGCCTCCGTACCTGTGTGCTGCGAGGGTGGTGGTACGAACTGCTATAAGGCTCCTCTTGCAGACTTGGTTTAGGGCTGCTCGCAGAGCCGCAAGCCAAACGTTGCATTGCACATGCACCCCTGTACTTGCCGTTTTTTGGCGGTAGAAACGTTAGACAAGCTACAGTACAGTCAAAGTTTGTCGAATGTGCAAGCAAGTTTACAAAACTGGGCGTGGACATCAAGTAGTAGTTAACTGAACGGTGCCGCAAACAAAAGGATGTGTCTGAGGCCATGTATCGGAGTATGATTCGGTGCTTCTCGTGATATTTCGCAAGGAGGTGTGAACTTCGACGATGTTATGCCGACTATTGAACCCAGCAATTCACTCGGGCATGGTTTTGGGGCTATGTTCCGCGTGTGCCAGCCATGCTTCTCAAACAAAGGCGAGGGCCCTCGAACGTGGCCTCTTCACAGGTATTAAGCTGACTCTGCATTTCATGTGGGTCATCTACACCACAAACCTCACCATTGCAAACACACGTGAAGTGCAAATAGATTTAAAACACACTGTTGGATTTGCCTGCCGGTCGTCATCTCAATTTACCTTATTCGCATGTATGAGCACAATGAGTTGAGGACCCGTTTCTAGTCTTAGCCTTCTTCGTTCATGAACATTCGCTTAAATCGGACATGTAATGTAGGGGCCTTAGCAAATAGAATAGGGTTTTGGGCTATACTGTACTATAATCAAAACAGAAACCGCCCAAAATAGTATTGTTAATTAGCCAGGCCAGTTAGGCCTCTATAGCAGACTGCCCCTTCTTGGAAAAGCATCGTTCTCTCGAAGAAGATCTCCGGAAAGTGCATCTGTAGCCAAACCCTAAGTCCTTCCTCCAAGAAGCCCCCGTTGCAAGCCCACAAACCCGCAAACCCCAGCCCTGCGTCCTTTCTCCCTGAAAACCCTTAAACTCGGTTCTAAACCCTAACCCTAAACCCTAAACCCTAAACCGAGCAATCAGTCTCCGAAGGGCATCAGCATCAGAACGGGAATGCTCGCGGGCCCCAACCTCCGCTTCAAGAGCTTCAAGCGGGTTTTGGAGTTAGGGATCAGGGTTTAGGGTTCAGGGGTTGAGACATTTAAGGGGGTTTTTGACACTCACACTCGGACAAGCCTGGCAAGGTCTGCAGCGACACTTGTTCGGACGACTCATTTACAGCCTCAAAGTGTAGGGTTTTGGCTTGGGGTGCCTATTTTTTTTGACTGAGAAGGAATGAGAAGGACAAGACAAGCATTGGAACGAGGGTTTAGGGTGAGTGGTGGCGGTCTCTTGGCGGACTATGACGAGGGTTGAAGAGGGTACGTTCTAGACTTGCTGAGGCTCCCGTGGCTTTCAATCACAGGACAAGGCGCTACAAATGCCAAGCTCGTAATTTTCGCAGTATTAAGTACGTCATTAGGCTTGTGAGACAAGGGCTTTACGAGCAGACTATTCTCATTAAGTCTAGATGGGAAATATGAGACCTCGCATCCTTGTTGTGGTGCTGTTCTCTTGTAGTGGCTTTGCGTGCATCGTCGTGGGCCGTGGCAATACAACCTACAGACAATGGTTCCCCGAGAGCGAGAATCTGAAAGACATCATACACCTACAATCATCCAGCAACTTCATATTAATAAACTCCGAGCAAAGTTCTGGAGAACTACAAAGCTTACCGAGGTACTGCATGGCCCTCTCCTGAGTAAACTAGGGCCTTGAAACCACCCGAAACCTTGCGCCGCTAAGACCGACCGGAACTCCTGAGCCATCGGGTCCCATAACCCATGGGCCTTAAGGAATACATATAGGCATGTATACGACATCATACGACTTTAGTTCTGTAACTACGGATTCTGGGGACTCTAAGCTGGCATACTAACCCTAGTTGTTCCCGCCCCTTTCTTAACTTAAGCCTTCTACTCTACCATGCTATAGGATTTACCGAGCTTGGCAAAAGCTTCCGCCCTCCCCGTGGGAACAAATTGGCTTGAAGCACTCGCTAGGAGCTCATGCGCTCTGTTAAACAGTTTCGCAGGTTTCTGGCCTTGTCTACAAACCCTGCAAAAATGAACCTCAATTTGTCAATATCCCGAACCCTGAACCACCATATTCTTGGAACTTCTTCAGGTCTTACACCGCGACAGGCTTGAAAAAATCCCCTCCTCAGAGCTTCTGTATCTACGCATGGTGCAACTTCAACAAAAGGTGGAGTGACCTCAACTTACAACAGCAGAAACCTGGACAAGCTTGCATGCATCGGAAACCATGCATTTTCCTCCAGCCCTAGGCCCCAAACCCGGTGCCGCAGCGCAGAGCTCACTCTGGAATTCGCAAGCTCAGACAGTGGGGCAGGTCTGGTTGTGTGCGTTCCCGCCGTCGCAGGGATGGCAAAACCAGACAAGGATCACATAGCGGGGTTGTGAGCCCCAGTGGCTCCTTGGTTGCATGTTTCCTGAACAATACATAGTTACATACACACCTATACCTGCCAACCTACCTACTCACCGACGCACGCACGTAGAGACACGAACGCGCACACACACAGAAAAATATATATGTACACACACACTTTTACATGCATGTATGTATGCACATACCCTGCTAGTGTTGTCATGCTGTTTGAAAGGCGTTATTCTGGAAATGCTTCCTTTACTACTGCTACGACGACATGAACGTCGTCTTCAACGAG